CCCGGGAGAATTGATGGGGACATCCCAATTTTAATTATTTTAGTTGGACTTTTATTTTTTAGTTGGACTTAGGTTATTTAATTTTTATGGACTTGTGTATTGGGCTTAGCCCTATCTTTTAGGTTTGCAGTATTTTCAGTATTTAAACCTATTTTACATTGTAATTGAGACAATGAATTGATTGAATAAAAAGTTGGCTGCAGCCCCCGTTTTCTCCCTCCCCTCTCTTCCCCTGGTTCTTTTCCTCTTCTCCCTTCTCTCTCGTATTTTTCTGTTCACTTTCTTCTCCCTCTCCTCCCCTTCTTGTTTTATCCTACATCAACATGCCTGCATTGGAGGACGTTGAAGAAGAAGAAAAATTGGAGTTTGTTATTGGGGAATTGTTGGTGTCAAGGAGAGCTCTTAACACTCAAGTCAAAGTGGATGATTTGGAACAGCAGCGAGAAAATATATTCCACACACGTTGTTACGTCAACGATAAGGTATGTAATATGATTATTGATGGTGGGAGTTGCACGAATGTAGCTAGCACAACTTTAGTTAAGAAATTAGGACTAGCATTGTTAAGACACCCTAGGCCTTATAAGTTGCAATGGTTGAATGAAAGTGGGGAAGTTAGAGCGAATAGAAGGATTTTAATTAATTTCTCAATTGGGAGTTATAGTGACAAAGTAGTATGTGATGTGGTGCCTATGCATGTGGGTCATATCTTGTTAGGAAAACCATGGCAATATGATAGAAGGGTCACACATGATGGATATAGGAATCGTTATAGCTTTGTCAAGGATGGACAGACTATTACTCTTGCGCCATTAACTCAAGGATGTGAAGACTATTACTCTTGCGCCATTAACACCGGCACAAGTGTATGAGATCAAATCAAGCTGAAAAGTGAGGAAGACGAGAGAATAAGAGAGTCGGGAAAAAGGAGAAGCAATAGTGAAACCATCAATAAGAGAGAAAATAGTGAGGTGGCTGAGAGTGGAGAAAAGAGAGAGAAGCCACATGAGCGGAGAGAAAAGGAGTCAATTGAGAGGAGAGAAAAAGAGTCAGCTAAGTGGAGAGAAAAACCAAAGGTCAACTTCTATGCAAAAGAGAGTGAGTTGAAAAATGCTATGAGCGATAATAGACAAATGATATTGTTAGTGTACAAGGAGTCCCTCCTCAATTTTGAGGATTCTAACACATCCCTCCCTAGTTTGGTTAAGTCTTTATTGCAGGAGTTCGACGACGTGTTTCCTAAGGAGATGCCAAGTGGATTGCCACCAATTAGAGGCATCGAGCACCAGATTGACTTTGTACCCAGAGCTATCATATCGAATCGACCAGCTTACCGAAACAATCCCGAGGAGACGAAGGAGCTTCAAAAGCAAGTGGAGGAATTGATGAGCAAAGGTTATGTCACGGAGAGCATGAATCCATGTGCTGTACCTGTTTTGCTGGTGTCTAAGAAGGACGGGACTTGGAGAATGTGCGTGGATTGCCGAGCTATCAACAATATCAGGGTAAAGTATCGTCACCCAATATCTAGGCTAGATGATATGCTTGATGAGTTGCATGGTGCTTGCATTTTTAGTAAGATTGATCTTAAGAGTGGGTATCATCAAATTCGTATGCGGGAGGGTGATGAATGGAAAACGGCGTTTAAAACTAAGTATGGATTGTATGAATGGTTAGTTATGCCGTTTGGATTCACTAATGCACCGAGCACTTTTATGCGTTTAATGAACCATGTTTTGCGTACTTTTATTGAAAAATTTGTTGTAATTTATTTTGATGACATCTTAATCTATAGCAAAAACCTAGATGAGCATTTAGAACATTAAATTGTGTGCTTGTTGTGTTGCGAAAGAAACAACTGTATGCTAATGTCAAAAAATGCACATTTTGCGTAGATAGAGTTGTTTTCCTAGGATTTGTGGTTAGTGCTAACGGGGTGGAAGTCGATGAAGAAAAGATAAAAGCTATAAAAGAATGGCCAACACCTAAGACTATAACTGAAGTTAAGAGTTTTCATGGATTGGCTAGTTTTTATAGGCGATTTGTAAGAGATTTTAGCACCATCTCCACACCGTTGACTGAAATAGTAAAGAAGAGTGTAGGTTTCCATTGGGGAGAATCTCAAGAAATTGAATTTAACACAATTAAGGATAAGCTATGTAAAGCACCTGTTTTGACATTACCAAATTTTGATAAAACATTCGAGGTTGAGTGTGATGCATCAGGAATAGGTATAGGAGCAGTGTTAATGCAGGAAAGGAAACCTATTGCTTACTTTAGCGAAAAGTTGAGTGGGGGCAGCATTGAATTATCCGACAAATGACAAGGAGCTGTATTCACTTGTTCGAGCATTGGAGACTTAGCAGCATTACTTGTGGCCAAAGGAATTCGGGATACACACCGATCATGAATCTTTAAAGCATTTGCGAGGCCAAGGTAAGTTAAACAAAAGACATGCAAGATGGATGGAGTTTATCGAGATATTTCCCTACGTCATCAAGTACAAACAAGGTAACGAAAATATAGTTGCTGATGCGTTGTCTCGAAGGTACGTGCTTTTAAATTCATTAAGTACTAAATTACTTGGTTTCGAACATATTAGGGGCATGTATGAATCTGATTGTGATTTTTCTAATATTTATGCTTCATGTGACAAAAGTGCATTTGATAAATTCTATAGACATGAAAGATATTTGTTTAGGGAAGATAAGTTGTGCATTCCTAATTATTTTTTGCGTGAATTATTGGTAAGGGAAGCACATGGGGGTGGTTTAATGGGACATTTCGGGGTTCAAAAGACTTTAGACATGTTAGGGGACATTTTTATTGGCCTAAAATGCGACATGACGTAAAACAAATATGTGGAAAGTGCATAACTTGTAATAAGGCTAAGTCTAAGGTTCAACCCCATGGTTTGTATACTCCTTTGCCTGTACCTAGTGACCTTTGGATAGACATATCTATTGACTTTGTGTTGGGTTTGCCTAGGACAAAAAGGGGTCGAAATTCAATATTTGTAGTGGTCGATAGATTTAGTAAGATGGCGCACTTCATATCATGTCATAAAATTGACGATACTACTAATATTACATACTTATTCTTTAGGGAAATAGTACGTTTACATGGAGTACCTAAAATTATAGTGTCTGATAGGGACGTGAAGTTTTTGAGTCATTTTTGGCGTGTTCTGTGGAGTAAGTTAGGAACTAAGTTATTATTTTCTACAACTTATCACCCACAAACAGATGGACAAACTGAGGTAGTTAATCGAACTATGACTCAACTACTTAGGACAGTGATCAATAAAAATCTGAAATCATAGGAAGAGTGTTTACCGTTTATAGAGTTTGCATATAATCGAGCTACACATTCAACTACTTCGTTTTCTCCTTTTGAAATTGTTTATGGTTTTAATCCACTAACACCTATGGATTTAATGCCTTTGCCTGTGCATGAACGAGGTAGCTTGGATGGGAAACGAAAAGCCGAGATGGTGAAAACACTCCATGAAAAGGTCAGGATGCAGATTGAAGAGAAAGGAAAGCTGATTGCATCAAAAGCAAAGAAAGGAAGAAGACGCGTTACATTTGAGTCTGGAGATTGGGTTTGGGTGCATTTCAGAAAAGAGCATTTTCCATAACAAAGGAAGTCAAAATTGCAACCACGAGACGTTGGACCGTTTCAAATCATCGAGAGGATCAATGACAATGCATACAAAGTGGATTTACCTGGTGAGTATAATATTTCAGCTACTTTTAATGTCGCTGATCTTTCTCTTTTCGATGCAAGTTCAGATTCGAGGACGAATCCTTTCGAAGAGGGAGGGGATGAATCAAGGTGCGTCAACAACCAAGACAACTCAAGCGTCAAGTCACGGGAAGGATCCGTTGATCGTCGAAAGTGGACTGATGACGCGATCGAGGATGAAGCAAGTGAAAGAAGCGATGGGATTGCTCGTCAAACAAGTCAATGAAGGCACAATGTTCAGGGCGCAAAATGGAGCAACTTTTATGTTCGGGTTGAAGGTCGAATCAACTTGGATCAATTTGTTATCAAGCGACAAAATCGGAGGCTGAAAACAAGCCTGTGCGGCTGCACAGGCAAAAACACCATGCGGCCGCACGATGGCATACCGAAAATCAGGATGGCATTTCTTGTTGAACCATACGACCGCATGGAAATACACCACGCGGCCGCACAAGCCAAAAATTTGGCGAATTTTTCAATTTTGGCCGAATTTCCTAGTTTCGATAAAATTCTTATGAAATCAAATTATTACCATAATTTGATGGGTTTTGAACGTTTTTGCTCATTAGTATAAATAGGAGAATATTTTTCATTGCAAGAACTTTTGCTTGAATAATATTATAGAGAGAGAATTTGTTCTTTCAATTTCTTGTTCTTCTTGAACAATCTTGGAACTTATCAAGATTCAATTTCTTGTGGCGTTCTAAACAATCGGATTGTGGGTTCTTTTAATTGTAATCAAGGGATTTTTAGGTGCTTCGCTAATCTAGGGTTTCTTGATTCAATTCTTGGGGTTCAAGATCCAAAATCGGGTTAGTATTGGCGTTCTTGGGTTCCGCATCAATCTCGTTGTGGATTTCGTAATTTCCATTGCTACGGGGTTCGCATCAGAGAACCTAGAAAGTAAAAGGTGGAACTCAAGGAAGTACGATCTTTTAGCAATATAATTCCCCAAACTTGGAGAAGGAGACCCAATCTTCAACATAAAGAATGCCACAATAGAGAGTTCACTCCAAGATCTTAACGGCAAAGTGGCAACAACATATGGGTTCTATAGATATTATGTTAATAGTGAGTAACCTTGACAGTGATCTGATGAAAAGTAGAATGATATAGCAGTTCTTACGTCACATTTTCGTCTCTTTAAGAGGGATCCTCATCTTATGGTTATTATAAATTATAAATAATAGAAGTAGAAAACGGCATGGTTTCAAATGCAACGTCAACATAGAACCAAGTTAATATGCCCATACCTCAATCGTCACATCATGATCCTGTTGTGTGCTTGGAGCTGGGGTATAATCCATAGGCGAGCTTTGCTTTGGTGGAATCAACTCAAGGTCCCAACAAACAAAGTAAATGTCTCCGTCCAAATCACTCCCGGAGCATTCATTTGGGTGAGGTCTGTTATTAGAATATGATTAAACAGAAGATAACACATTGAAAATATCATTTAAATACATTATAGAGAAGATACATGCTAATAGGGTGACAAGTCTCAAAAAATTAATCCTGGAAAACAGTATTCTGAGTTCATAATAAAGTATTACTAAATTTACAAACTGTCAAAATGGTATTTTTTATTGAACATGAAAATGATACAAAGAATTGTGGCCTTATGATATTAAGCATAGTTGCCAATGCAATGACATAGGGCACTTTTAAGAAAAATATGCTATTTTTGTTATTCTAAGAAGGCTATTTAATTTTCAAGTAATAAAAAATCCACATTAGGACAATGCTGCAAGCTAGGAAGCACCGACAAGCTCCCGGCGACGACGTACCGGTGTCCGACACGAGTCGGACACCGATACGCGTCCGACACGTCGCCGACGCGTGTCGGAGTAACGGAGTCGTGTGGCTTTGGTGGGCTGAAAAAAAGAAACCAGTGGAAAGAAAGAAGAAAAAAGAGAAGAAGAAGAAGAAGAAGAAGAAGAAGATGATGAAGAAGAAGAGGAAGAAGAAGAAGAACCTGTTACCTGTTGATTGTCAGGCATAGACAGAAAGAAAGAGAGAAGAGACGGCTGAAATGAAATGAAAAGTCATGATTTATCAATGCAAATTTCAATTTGTGGGCCCACCACTGTAAATTTTCTCCTTTTGTACACGTTTTGTATCTTTTCAATGGATGTAATTCTTTATAAAATAATGTACAATACTTTATTTGATCAATTTGTACCATTTTACCCTTCAACAACAAATCAAACTTATATAACAACACAAACATTTTCTTCCTCAGTCAGTAACTTGCGAAAATTTCAGAACATCCAAGTTTTTTTTTTGTTATTTCATCTTTTTCAAAAATTTCATCAATCCACATTTGAAGAATCATTTGCAAGATCAAGAAGAAGATATTTTTTCAAGTTTCGGGTAATATCACTCCTATTTTACTTAAGTATTTGAAATTATTTTTCTTTTGAAGTTATGAGTGATAATGCTATGGATGATGATTTGTCTAAACCTCTTTGGAAATATGTTACAAAACTTGATAAATTTAATGAAAAGGGTGGTAACATTATTTGGCAATGTAATTTTTGTAATGCAACTAAGACAAGTTCTTACACAAGAGTGAAGGCACATTTGTTAAAATTACAAGGCTATGGAATTGGGGCTTGTGGAAAAGTAACTATGAAAGATATATGTGAAATGCAAAAAATGGAAGATGAAGCCAAGTTGAGAATGCAAACTAAGGCGGGGAAAAGAGTGCCATTACCATCGAATAATATGGGTTCTAAGGATTGTTATGTTTTGGAGGAAAGGAAAAGAAAGAATAGTGCAATAGAAAATGCTTTTAATGTGACTACACGTGACCAATTGGATTCCAAAATTGCTAGAATGTTTTATTCAAGTGGTTTGCCTTTTACTCTTGCAAGAAATCCTTATTACATTAGTTCTTATACTCTTACTTCCAATAGTCGAATTTCGGGATATTTGCCTCCCGGTTACAACAAGTTGAGAACTACTCTTCTTCAAAAAGAGAAAAAAATTGTGGAAAGATTATTAAATCCAATTAAAGGCACATGGGCGGAAAAAGGAGTTACCATTGTGAGTGATGGATGAAGTGATCCACAAAGAAGGCCACTAATTAATTTTATGGCGGTGACCGAGAGTGGACCAATGTTTTTAAAAGCGGTTGATTGTTCCGGTGAAACAAAAGATAAATATTTTATTGCTAACTTGATGAAGGAGGTTATAAATGAAATTGGTCATCAAAAAGTGGTTCAAGTAATAACCGATAATGCTCCAAATTGCAAAGGTGCCGGACAAATAATTGAATTAGAGTATCCTCATATTTTTTGGACACCACGTGTTGTACACACACTAAATCTTGCTTTGAAGAGCATTTGTGCCGCAAAGAATGTTGAAAATAATTTGATTACATATGAGGAATGCAATTGGATTACTAATCTTCATGATGATGTAATGATTATAAAATTTTTTATCATGAACCATTCCATGAGACTAGCAATGTTTAATGAATTTGTGCCTTTGAAGTTGCTTTCCGTAGCGGAGACACGATTTGCTTCTATTATTGTCATGTTAAAAAGATTTAAGCTTATTCGACGTGGTCTTCAAGCTTTGATTATTAGTGAAAAATGGTCACTTTATTGAGAAGATGACATGACGAAGGCAAGTTTTGTAAAATTGAAAGTGTTTGATGATCTTTGGTGGGACTCTATAAGTTATGTTCTTTCCTTCACTTCTCTCATTTATGACATGTTTAGATTTTGTGATACGGATAAACCTTGCCTTCACTTGGTTTACGACATGTGGGATACAATGATTGAGAAAGTGAGAGGAATAATTTATAGGAATGAGAAAAAAGTTCAAGAAGAGGAATCATCATTCTACAATGTTGTTCATCGGATACTTGTAGATCATTGGAACAAAAATAACACTCCACTTCATTGCTTGGCTCATTCCCTAAATCCAAGGTAATTTTTAAATTTAATTCATACATTTAATGTTTATTTACATTATCATAATATTTAATATGTTTAGTTAGTTATTGAATGAATTGTCATTTTTTTATTTTTTTTTCCTCTTGTTTAGGTACTATAGCGAGGAATGGCTTAATGAGGATCCCACTCGACTTGCTCCACATAGAGATGTAGAGATTTCAAGAGAAAGAATAAAATGTTTTAAGAGGTACTTATCAAATGAAGAACGTATTATGGTGAATAAGGAGTATGCCAAATTCTCAACTATGGAAGATGACTTTGGTGATTTTGAATCCATCCATGATCGTTACCGCTTGGACCCAAAGACTTGGTGGGTTATTTATGGTGCTTGCACACCTATGCTTCAAAGTTATGCTTTGAGATTATTGGGGCAACCATCTTCTTCATCGTGTTGTGAGCGAAATTGGAGTACTTATTCCTTTTTGCACTCTCTTAAACGGAATAAGCTAACTCCAAAACGTGCGGAAGATTTGGTTTTCGTCCATAGCAATCTTCGTCTCTTGTCAAGGAGGAGTGCACAATACTCACAAGGAAAGACTAAAATGTGGCATATCGATGGAGATGCATTTGATACATTTGAAGATATTAGTGTGCTTGAAGTCGCTAATTTATCTCTAGACGAACCGGAATTGGAGGCGATAGTATTTGCTGATGGAGATGAAGATGTTGAAGAGATTCAAGATGAATGATGTAATTAATTTCATTTTTACTTTTTGAACTTATGTCATTAAGAAACATTGATGAATTTAATGTCAAGTTTGATTTCTATTTATCATTATATATATGATTAAATAAGTACACAAAATTAATACTTTAGACTATAAAATTAAAATAAACAAAAAAAAATTTTTAATCAACGTGTCGACGACGTGTCGTGTCGGAACTTTTTAAAAAAATCGCGTGTCGGCATGTCCGACACGTGACACTCGTGTCCGTGTCGGTGCTTCTTAGGCTGCAAGTCTGTTCTACATATAATAGGTAATTCGTGACCCGTTGTTGCACTGTTGACACAAACGATATTTCCTGAATGCAATGGCCCCCGTAAAGTTCTTGGAGATAAGATTAGTTTAGAAGTATTCAAGAAGCCCCTATTTGGTTTTGCTAAAACTCAATTTTTTAGTAGATTTTCATTAAAGTTGATGAAACATATGGTTGAAAAGTTGATAAAATCTTTGGATTCCATGAAATGTGTAGTAGAAAATGAGTTTGGAGAAAAATGAGTTTAAAAAAAATGGAGGCCAATCAGGGGTGAAGTCAGTTTTACCTTTGTCCTTTTCGAGGGAAAACCACACAGTCCACCATATGGTGCAATGCTGGCACATCAACAGCCACTAATTTACGAACATCACCAGGGTGCAAGCATGGGTTTTTGGCAACGGCAACCATTCCCTTAACAATGTAATTATAGTCATCTGACATATTCCCAATGAATCTAAGGAAATCCTCATGGAATCGTCTACGACCAGCACAAGAAAATTGAACAAACATCTGGCCATATTCTAAATTTCCAGTTTCATCCAGGCATCCCATCATTTGTCTAGCTTGTGGAACAAATATTCTTGATTTTACCCTCAAATCCAGTAACTTTGATGCGCGAAAAGTTTGTAGCATCATCGAGAGAAATGGTTCGCTGTCAGACAGATAACCACACCTTAGCATTTCCTTCAGAATGTTTGTATTTTCACCAGGAGACATCAAATCCAACGCCTCTTCTGCCCTCAACGGATCAACTAAAATAGTATCCAGCTGATCTACTGCTTCTCTTTGCTTCTTCTCAAAGACATGATCCGCAACTCCAAGAGTAGATAAAAGAGAGATAATTTGCCTATTTAGAAAACAAGGTTGATATTTACTCCATGCCAAAACATCTAATTTTGTATTGTCTGACTGATATTTTAACATGCTCGGTCTCAATGACAACTTCCTTCGTGAAGAGGGATCAACAGCCACAACGCCTTTGTAGCCACCATACCTGATCTGAAAGGCGGAAGGAAAAGAATTTTTAAGTCCACATTTAATGGCAACCTTCCGAGCAAACTCAGCAGATATCTTCCCAATTCCATCAGAAAAGATTCCCCCTCTTATTGCCTCTATGTCACAAATAAATTCAATCTCATCCTTATCAACATTTAAAGTTTCTGTGGAGGATCCAAAAGATTGACCAAGTCTGGCAGCATATTTTGCAACATTTTTAATGGAACGAAAATCACCCATCCATCTACGGATATCATCAGCATTATCAGTAGCTGTTGAAGCAAACATCCAAACAGAATTATCCCGCAACTGGCTTGAGGAAAACGCAAGAAAATCAAATTTCTTATCGCCTATAACAATGCCATTTCTTAATGTTGACAATATCCTTATATATATCTCTGTTCTTATATTCTCATTCCCAGAAGCAACCTTGGGGGATAGATCAGTAGAATACATTTTATCCCACTCTTCGTCCACAAAAGAAACACGAAGAAAATTATCAATATCTTTTCGATAATGGCGTAACACGCGGTTTGACACATTCACTTCTGGACCAGAGAAATACACTTTGCTTGGAGTTACTTGAACCCTACGTACATATACCAGTCCGTCATCTAAACTAATGGCTGGTGATTTTGGTGTCCTTTCCATCTTGCAGTATTTCTCATACTGCTCCATGAGCCAGCTCACAGGATCGTAACAGCATTCCTTCAAATTGTAAAGTTTCTCTAGAGCATACTCTATATACCTGATGAGGACATCCTTTATAGTTGGACTTTTATTATTGTTTCAGTATTTTAGTTGGACTTTTATTATTGTTTCAGTTGGACTTTTATTTAAGTTTACGTATTTTAATTAGGACTTAAATAATGGGTTTGGCCCTATATTTCTAGGTTTTCATTATTTAAACCTATCATTGGTTTGTAATTTCTCAGTTGATGAATTTTGATTAAATAAAAGACTTGGCTTGCAGCCGTATTTTCCTCTCTTCTCCGGCTCCTCTCTTCCCCCTTCTTCTTTCTCTGTTATTGATACTACATCAAATTGGTATCAGAGCTAAACTTGGGAAAACATTATAGCTGTTGGCTGGTCTGCCTGCGAACCCTCGTGCAAAATATACACAGAAAGTACTACTAAGCATCTACCACACGCCACAACCACTGTCCAAATTCTGTCACAACCACCATATCCCACTGCATAACCGCCACCAGCCCACTCACTCTCCAACCCGAGCTTGCAGCAACCAGAAATTGAACCATACCCACCGAAATTACAACAACCGGTTTGTGCCCCTACCTCAAACGGTAACCACCACCCACACGACCACCACTAACAGTCACAGACTCGCAGTAACCCAGAAATCAGACCACCCCGTGACCGCCATCTCTATTCACGAAAACAGAAACGGCACCACCGTCAAACCAGCAGCACCATCTTTCAAGAAAACACCAAATATTTCTGAACCAACCGCCGATATCCACCTTACAGAGGCAGTGCCACCGAAGAATGATGTTGCGGGAAAGACCCCATCTTTTCCAGCTCCAGTCCAGTCGC